AAATGAAGCTTTTTTTTTACATTTTTTTTGGGATAGGGGGTTGCGGGGGTTGGGGGTGGGTTGGTAATTTTTTTTTAAAAAAAAAGAATTATTGGAAAAAATTTAAAATTTTGTAAATTTTTTTTGGATGGTGTGTGGAGGGGGGAGGGGGTTGGTAGGGGGGTGGGGTGGTAATTTTTTTAAAAAAATATTTTTAAAAATTTTAATTAAAAAATTAAAAAATTAAAAATTTTGTTAATTTTTTTTTTGGGATGGGGTGTGGGGTGTGGGGTGTGGGGTGTGGGGTGTGGGGTGTGGGGGGCTGGTAATTTTTTAAAAAAAAATTTAATGAAAAAATTTAAAATTTTGTTAATTTTTTTTTTTGGATTGGGTGTGGGGTGGTAATTTTTTTAAAAAAATATTTTTAAAATTTTGTTAATTTTTTTTGGGGATGGGGTGTGGAGGGGGGGGGGTTGGTTGGGGGTGTGGGGGAGGGGGTGGTAGGGGTGTGGTAATTTTTTTAAAAAAATTTAATGAAAAAATTTAAAATTTTGTTAATTTTTTTTTGGATGGGGTGTGGAGGGGGGGGGGTATAAAGGGTAGGGGGTGGGTGGTAATTTTTTTTTTAAAAAAAATTAATCAAAAAATTTAAAATTTGTAATTTTTTTTTGGGATGGGGTGTGGGGTGGGGGGCTGGTAGGGCGTAGGGGGTGGGGTGGTAATTTTTTTACATTTTTTTGGGATAGGGGGTAGGGGGACTGGTGTGAAGTGATAAAAAAAACTTTAAATTTTTTTTGTTTTAAAGCATTTAACAAGATTTCTATTATAATATGGGTAAATATGGGTACCCATATTATCCATTGGGTAACTCATTTTTACCCATTTAAAATATGAGTCGAGTCGAGTAACTTATTCATTTTCATTTAACTCGTTTTTTGATCGACTCATATTCGACTCGACTGGCTCGTTTGTCACTCCTAGTTGTGACCCAACCCATGTATTGACATAACCCAGTTAGACCCAACCCACCCTTTTTGACACTCATATGTACAGACAAAGTAAGTTGTTCCTTCCACACATATGTCAATACTCAATAGTATCCAAGAGATATATTATGATATAGCTACATATATATAAGGGCTCTGATATCTGTCAAAGTTTCAAGCAGTACTCTTGTAAGATGATATCCATCGTTTGTTATATTTTCTTTTTGATCCTTAAGAGGTACCATCATTATACATAGATCAACATGTTACACGTCCAAGGCATTTGATGAACGGTTCATGAAGCTATCTTTGATAATATATTTCACAGGATTGAAATTGATGAATTCAACTTATATACATCGATAATATGGAGATTTTATAACTCCAGATTTACACAATCGGTGTATTTTTAATCTGTTGTAGCAGGTTACAGCCTCATTTCCCAGGTAACAAATCCTACATTTTATTGATATAATATCAACAAGATGTTTGAACATGCAACAATGAACATGTTATTGGTGGAACCGGTACTATTATTCCCGCATTAAACATCTGCACAAGAATCAGAAATTCATGCGTGAATGATACTGGAAACATAGCTAACTAAGCGTATAATAAATAGCCCTTGACAAATTTGTTTTTAGTTTTTTGTCCTCGGTACAATAGATCTTCATTTATACATACCCATAGGAATTTGAAAAAATTGACTTCTATTCAAATTTGTAAGTGGTCATAAGAGATCATTTTCACGAAAAAATACACATACATACATTGCTCAAGATTTCCCCCTATTTTATTACCTGAAATTTAACGGGGTCAGGAATTGACACATCAATGGCATCTGAATGGGAGCAAATTGTTGTACATTTTACACAGTTAGTGTAACTATGCCCATATTCTAATACAAATTTTTTTTTAAATTAAAAAAAAAGGTTAATTTAACAAGTAATTTTGTCATTGAAGGAGTAGGACTGGCTAAAACACTGATTAGCATGTAATGTCTTCAAAGTCTCTGAATCAAAGACAGATTAATTCTAGATTTTAGAGCAACTGAAGATGACCTCAATTTATGCCCCGACACATAAACTCCAACAGAAGTGGACAACGTGAAAAATGGAAATTTACTAAAGACAAATATCCTTAAGATTAAAAATGTACAAGTTGGGAACCTACCTTCAAAATTTAGTAACAATGGCTCCAAATAAACTTTTGACTAAAAGGCAAGTTGGATTTTCAAAATTTGGTCCTTTTCAAACTGGAGAAAAGGCTAAAGAGATCATCATTATGTCTTAGCAAAAAAAATAATATGCGTGGAATAATAATAATAATAACCTCTGAAGAAAACTGTTCCACTGAGATATTAGATAGAGAATTTTGGCTATTCATTATTAATCTAATGGACGTGGGGGCCAAACCCAAGTGTTAAGTGTCCCATCATCACATGTTATCCGTTTTAATTTATTTATCATGTTTTGATTTAACACAAATTTAAAGAAAATGAATTAACAAAATTTTATAATTTTATAATTTTAAATTAAAATCATGTCAATGTATGTTTAAAATCTCTAAATCTTGTGATCTTACGTATATCAGGTGAAAAATTAATGAGATTATGAAAAAGACATTGAAACGACGGGAGAGTAGTATGTATATAATATGCACCATGGTGACATCTTTTTCCACTAATTTCAAAGTATTAAGGGTCCATTTAAAATTCTGTTGTCGGTTCCTCTCTCTATGTACCTCTCTTTCTTCGTCTTCTTTTTCTATATAGTGAAAAAAAAAAAAAAGGAATATGTCAACCATGAATTTTATTAGTATTAAATAAATCTATTTATTACTATTTCTCTTCATCTTAAAAAGTTCCAGTAAATTTTTGTGCATGTTATGAGCAATCTTGGACTGGTCAGGCATGGTACTGTAAAAATAATTCCCTTTTTAAATTCTCTAATATTTCTGGTGTTGATTGATGACATGCATGCATGTTTTTCACCAGATATGAGAGGAGATATGATTTGTAGTATTGAAAAAAAAAAGAATTAGATTCTTTCGTACATTTTGTATACACGAATCGGAGTAGTCTATAACACCGTTAGTTTATATAAGTTAAATCCTTATCATATATGTAGACATATCGAATAAGGGCCAGCAGAATGTACTGTTCCAAATAGAAATCAAGAAAATCAAAAAGTAGTGGACCGATCGATATGGTTGATATGAAACCATAATGTCTTTTTTTTTTCAGAATAATTTCTAAAGGTAGTGAAGAATGCTTTAGTAAAGTGAAACACTGAAAAGTCTATATCATATATCATATCATACTTAGGTAAGAAATAATTTACTTTATGTACGACAAAAACAGAAAAGAGATGGAGATAATAGAGGACATTTAGAACATGTTACGTTAAAGTTTAATTAGCACTAATTATAATAATAATATTCACACGTTGCCTAGCTACAAGTGACAAAAGGTGATGGAAATACAAGCAATATAGTTACTGACTTGATCATATATTATCTTCCCAACTAGCAAGGAATATTGTTCCCAAAAAGTCGCAATAACAAACAAAAAATGCCAAAAGATGATTTTAAAGTGTGGTTGACAAGTTAAATAAAATTGCATCATCGTTATATAAAAAAGGCTGTGCCTTTCTCAATATAAGATCAACAACTTTAACAACAAGACACTTTATTGGGACGTATAAAAAAATTCAAGTGAAATCCCAATAAAGCCTATACTTTTCCCCACAGAAGAACAACATATCGATCAACATGAGATCGCATGGACTTAAATATATACATATTGCTATACCTCGTAATAATGGATCGTAGATTCAAATTTAATCAAAGATTTTTAAATATCAAACATTAAATGAAAAATCAAAATCAAGCTAACTTGGAGTACAAGAGTCTAGAATTTATATATTAAAAGAATCGAGTTGTGTGTAACTTAAAAATGACATAATACATAAATATGCCCTTTAACTTGACCTTATTTCACATTTACATCCTCCAACTTTGAGAGTGCACAAGTAGACACTTAAACTTGTATCAAGTTGAATAAGTAGACATATGAGTCCTATGTGGCATAATACACGTAGGACACTACATAGGATGCAAATTGCCACGTAGGATGCCACATACGTGTGTGTCTATTTGTTCAATTTTATACAAGTTTAAGTGTCTACTTGTGCACACCCAAAGTTTGAGGGCATAAATGTGAAATGATGCAATAAGTTAAAGGTCATATTTATGTATTATGCCCTTAAAAATTATTGTAATGAAATTAATAAAAAAATAAAACTCATTTATTCATTTACGTAGTATATTTTAATTAATATATGATTTAACATGTTTGTCTGTCTTATTTTTTTAGGTTACCAACATAAGTAATTATATTTTGGATATATTTACAAGAAAAAATTGGATAACTTTTGTCTTCTAGCTATCTTAACAAAAAATCTAAAACTTTTAGATCTATCTTTAAGATAAATATCTAAGATGCTATAGTAAATCAGTCTAAAAAATTTCCTAAAAAATCTAAGGTACTTTATAGCTCCGAAAATTAACTTTAGGTCTTTTCACATTGGGATGATTTATTATATATATAAATGCAGTGTGAGACAGCAAATTAATCCACTCGATCTAGTCTAAAATGTATGGGGAGAAGATAAAATAAAATGTTATACTTAATCGAAGCATAGGATTAATAATGATATATATAGTCACTCTATACTATTAAAGGGTCAAGAAAAGGAGAAACTTAACCCCACTACAGAACATATCCATTCACAATTCCACTCAAAATATAATAGATTGAATTCTCCATAGTTTATATAATATATATATATATATATATATCTCCTGTTTGAAATCCGGACAAAAGTTGATTGTTACTACTTCATACCTAAAGCTAGCTGTAGTAGTCAAAACAAACACATAATAATAATAATAATATCTTCTTTTTCTTTATCATCATTTGATCTGGAAAGTAAAGCTAATCCCATTAAAGCCAACACACAAATAACTCAAAAAATTCTAGTATTTCTTTCTTGCACTAAGGTCGATACACCTCCAGACAAATCTCTCAACCTTTTTAGTTTTTTTTTCCTTCTCAGAATTATGGAGACTACTCAATGGTCGACGCATGAGGTGGGTAATATATACTATACAAATTCATTTATTAGCACGTAGTACTTAATTAGTATTTGCTTAAGAAATTTGTGTCTTTTTTTTTTTCAAATTAAAGTGTTTCTTGATCTCTCTTTACACATCAAAGTTCAGTGCACTTTTTTCTTTCTTCCACTTCCTACATGATATGTTTTATTAAAGCATATGGAAATAAAGTGTTTTACTTCTTCGTTATTATTGTTTGTTTGCTTTCCAATTTAATTTTCAAAGTTACAAGGTATCCACTTTTGTAGTTTTTGATCTTCGATTTAGGTTACTATCTGTTGTTTTATAGTATTATTCTGCTACTATTTGTTGGTTTTTTTATTTTCTATTGTCTCTTTATACTTTCATTACATCTTTTTTTGTTTCGCCTTGAGCCGAAGGTATATCGAAAACAACCTCACTAATTCTAGGTAGAGATAAGTTATGCGTAAACTCTGCTTTCGTTAGATCCAAGTACAATAGATATGTTATTGTTGTTGGTAGAAGTTATATCCACACTTTATCATGTTGCATTTTCTTGATACTTTTTGTTTGTGTGTGTTTTGTTAATAATTTTTTAGGAAATTGGAGTAGTGAAATCATCGATGGGTACTGCAGAAATAATGAATAAGAAGGTGAGGCCAGTGAAGGATGGGGCAATAAATTGTCCTAGGTGTAATTCATTAAATACAAAGTTTTGTTACTACAACAACTATAGCCTAACTCAACCAAGATATTTCTGCAAGACTTGTAGAAGGTATTGGACTGAAGGTGGAACTCTAAGGAATGTTCCTGTTGGTGGTGGTTCTAGAAAAAACAAAAGATTATCCTCTTCTTCTTCCCAAAAGCTCCCTGATCTGAACCCTAATCCCAATAGTCATGTTCCAGCTCATCATCAAAACCCTAACAATATTGTAATTGGAAGTAACCAAGATCTTACCCTTGGATTTCGAACTGTGCCACAAGATCATCACACGTCGTTTCATGGTGTCATTCCTCAGTTTCTTGAATTGCCAAAGATGGATGGAAGCAACAATCATCTAGGTACTCATTATCTGACTATCGCATCTAAAAGATTAAATTGATAAAGAGAACATGTTTTTATTTACTTCATTATATTTTCAATTAGTCGCGGTTCTTCACCTGCGAGCCTTAATTAATCTTTTATTTACTTAATTATACATGTAGTTCTCTGATACCGTGTTGAGTTATTGTGACGATCATCTCATTTAAAAGATTAAATTATCAAAGAAGACACACTTTTATTTACTTTAATTATGTATTTTACCTACGTTTTATATTACGTAAAATTCTCTTCAATAATGTCATGATTACGAACTAAATGAACTCAAGTGTCTGCTCTGATATCATATTTTAAATGAGTAAAAAGAAAACATATTTTTATTTACTTAATTATGTCAGGTAGCAGTAGTCAAATATCAGCTCTGGAGCTGCTTGGGACTGGAATAGCCTCAAGAGGGTTTACTTCATTCATCTCCTCAGCATCAACACCAGATTTGAATGCTTTATACAATAATTCAGGTTTTCCTTTTCAAGAATTAAAGCCTGATCATGCAGCTTCTTTAAGTAATAATTATTCAAGTGGTGGGCCAGGGGGTCTAGAAAATGGATCAGGTGCAAGAATAATGTTCCCTCTAGGAGGATTAAAGCAACTTTCAAGTACAAATCAAGTTGATCATCAGACTAAGGGACATGAGAATAATAATTCAACTGCTGGATTATATTGGAATGGGATGTTAAGTGGTACTGGAGGATCCTGGTAAATAATGTGCACAAATCTCGTTTTTTTTTTCATGTGCTTTGGTTAATCCAGACTCTACGTGTGGGATTACACTGAGTTGAGTATGTTGTTGTTATACGTACTTTGGTTACTAATAATTTGTTGTTTAATTAGAACTAAGTACGTACTAACATATCGTAGAAGATATAGTTGATTTCTGGTTACATTGTTGTTAATTTGTACTAGGATTATTTTGAGATTAGGGAAGCTAGCTTGATTAAAGTAAGCTTCTAGGGTTTCTGTACTTAGCATGTATGTACTATATATATATATGATCATTATAATTACCGCCTAATTATTAGCTACATTTTGTTCTGTTTAATGAACTAATTTGTCGATAAACACCTTCTTCTTTTTTTCAGTCTCTCTCTATATATACTCACTATAAATGAGTCCGGAGCCAAAAGGACAAAAAAAAATTCCAAAAGGGAACATCAATATTTTTTTTTAACCAAAAGGGCAAAATCGCTCCTGATGGAGCGATTTCGGATTGACGCCGTTACCCGTTAAAAAACATAAAAATCGCTGCCCCAGCAGCGATTTCATCCAAAAAAAATTTCTTTTTTCTTAAAATCGATTTCATCAAAAAATTTTAACAACGCTGCCCCTGCAGCATTTTTCTAAAAAATAATTTAATCGCTGCTACAGCAGCTTTTTAATAAAAAAAAATAATTTAAATTGAAATAGCTACTATAAGTGATTTTCTTTAAAAAGTTTAATTTTTTTTATTAACAAATCGCTTGCCAGGCAGTGATTTACTTAAAAAGAAAATTTACTGATTTTTTTTTTAAATCACTGCTTTCTTCAAGGCAGCATATATTTAAAATGCAATTTTTTTTAATGAAATCGCTGTCTTGCAAGCGAATTTTAATATATATTTTTTTACTTTTTAAAAGAAAATCGCTGCTTCAATTTTAAAAAGTTTTATTTTTTGAGAAAACGCTGCAGGGGCAGTGATGTTAAAAAAATAATTAACGGAGTAACGGCGTCAATTTTGTCAGAAGGAAATCGCTCCGTCAGAAACGATTTTGCCCTTGCCCTTTTGGTTAAATTTTTTTTTGATGTGCCCTTTTGAAATTTTTGACAATTTTTTTTGCCCTTTTGGCTCCGGACTTCGCTATAAATAGTTATTTGTACTTTTAAACTAATTTAATATTTAGACACATGATAGTGTTGCAAAGTTATGTACCTTAATTTGACGGAACTTTAGGTCATTTGGTGCATATAGGGTGGTGTCGCAGTATTAGGATACACTTTTTTTTAGAGTCAAAATTTGTTTTTATTGAAAAATCGAAGAAAAGCCCTTTTGAGAAAGAACCTTTCCAGAAAAAAGGGAGAGGACTGAATATGGAGCTTACTAAGTACTCCTAGTAGTGAGCATAGCTTGCAAAAAATATGTGAAAGGCAACCATCTTAATTACCAATAGTTATTTGAAATTATAGAATTAGTAGATGATCAGCTATTATTGTATTGGAATCAATTGAAGTTCTTTGGTCTAACATTTAAATAATAGTAATAATAATACTGATATTTAACAACGCCACTAAGCAAATTGTAATTTTCAAACGAAAAGGAACCTACCTGCCACAACCAATACCTAATCCTTTTCTTTAAATTAATTAATTACTACCAATTTCTTTCAGTTCCTAACATACCCGACTACTGTAACGTGTCTTCTTCTTTTCTGAGTTATTATTTCACGCTTAAAAAAAAAAGTTACTCGTAGCTTGACTTTTGCTTCCTCCATTTCAATTTATTCATAGAATGACTTAACACGAAATTTAAGAAGATAAAAAAATCTTGTGGTTTAAACTAAAGATATGTCAAATGCCTTTTAATCTTGTTATCCTAAATATGCCACGTTGAAAGTTAAAATTAAAGAATTATCACATTCTTTTTTAAACGAACTAAAAAGAAAAATTAAGACAAACAAATTGAAAACTTAAGTTGATAGTGTACCAAAGACCGTCCATTTGCCAGCATAAGCTCAAAAAAGATCTTGAAATGGTAGTATATATAGTTCACAGAGATTGAACTAATTATAGTACTCATATAAAGTTTACAAAGAAAATTACACTATACAGAAAACTTGTTACATTTTTATTGCTTCACTATCTAGAGAAGCACTTGTAAAAGACATAAGCACTAACGCAGCAAGTACGCTTTCCTGTCCTGACTTCTATACAGAGACGAGCTTTACGCAGAACAGCAGGAGAATGACAAAGCTTAGATTTTGAGAAACACAAACTGGAAATAAAAAAACAAGAACCATTTACGGATCCCCATTAATTCCGAATATTCGGACCTTGTGCATATTTGGGAATTTGGCAACAACCATCACAGTCACAGCAATGGTATTGAAGAAGAGCATTGGTTGTTGGTAATCAGTTGTATGTGAGGCTATCAAGTACCTGTCAGTTAAACAAGTAGAAAAGAGTTTGCTAAGAAATCTCAGAAGTAAAATGTCATCAATACAGTAGAAAAGAAAAGGGGAAAGACGAAAAATTACTATAAGGATAGCATAAAGCAACCCTGATAAATACTCACTGAGAGTTCGCAATGCATTAAAAGTACCAAAAATTGCGTGGACTGTTGGTTTTTTAAGAAGCAACTTCAATATTTAATTTTGTTCACACAAAAATTGCATTTGTTCAATCTACATTCCACATGTACTTTTGCATGCTACAAGGCACGAATTCTTGGTTTTTAGCCTCCTTGGAGTCATCTTTCAAATTGCCCCTCAAATCTAAGAATGTGACAATTTTAATGCATAATCTTGGTGTTTGTCCACAAACAGATCTCTATTTTTCAGTGGGAGTATAGGCTCACCATTGACTCTAGCCTTTCATTTAACTTTCTACTTCGTCAAACTTCTCAATCCTCGAGAGTGTGTCACACACCTCTATACTTTTTCTCACTATAGTCAGAAGACAGCTGCTCATAACAACTGGTTATTCGTCTAACCCAATCATAATGCACATGTATTTTTTCTCTTTTGGAATCAAAATTCACATTTTTTGTCCTTTATTCGTATTAGGGTAGAAGGCTAGAAGGGGTATAGAGTTGTCATGCCGTGTGGAGGTATAGTGCCTGTCATAGGACTAGTCGTGCCTTTATAGTTCTTGCCATATATTGTTTATTGCATTTCGATTATCATATTATTTTGTTGTTACTATTTTCTCTCTTATGCTCTCTCCATTGTTTTCTTCTTCTTTTTCCTGGGTTTAATACACTTGAACCAAGGGTCTTTTGAAAACAGTCTTTCTACCTCCACGAAGTAGTGGTAAGGTCTGCGTACACTCTACCCTCCCCAAACCCCACTTTGTGGGATTTCACTAGGAATGTTGTTGTTGTTGTTGTCCTTTATTTGAGTTGATAATAATAACTGGTAGGTTTCATTAATAAAAGAAGCAGAGGCATGCCATAGCATGAAGTTTGCGCAAGAAAAAACATTTTGAGTTGATAATAATAACAGCTGGTAGGTTTCATTATTAAAAAGAATGCAGACGCACACCATAGCATGAAATTTGCACAAGAAAAAACATTTTGGTTAAAGTTCCTTTTTGAGGCATAAATTGGGGACAATTTATTCAATTAGCTCAGAAGACTAATTAACTTTATAGATTAAAATCTAACATAAAATTAACCATCCAACACTCTCTTGTTGCACCAAAAAACGAAAAAAAGGAAAGAACAAGCATTATCTTAGCACGTCTTATTTCCCCCTTTTAGGATGTCATGATGATCTCAACATTTTCCAAACCAAATTGTGAAAGTCAACAGAAAAGAAAGATGGAACTTACAGCACGACAGGTACGACAGTTAAGAATTTTCTGTTACGAGTGAGCTGCTTCCCATTGTCTATTTGCTCCCACCAAGTCAATTGATTGTACATCCCCTGATCATCTGCAAATGGAGTTCCTTTCTTCCAATGGAAGAAGTGATATGTGACCTGCATGTTGAAGCATGTTCAGTCACATTTGAAGATAATCATTTTCTTTCTTTTTTGTGGATAAATCACGTGAATGTATCAAAATAAATTAATCAACCCCATATCAACAGTAGCCAAAATAAAAATGAAGATGCAGCCAATCAAAGACTAAATTAAAGGAAACTATTTGGAAAGTTGAAGTTAAAAACCATACTTTACCCAATTCTGTGTAAAAGTTTAGTTGTTCATCCGCTGTTTCCTTAATAGGTCACTCATTTCATACCTCTGTAGAGCATTACCCAGTTTCTTTAGGTTGCAAAAATTCAAGAATAATACATTTTTTAATTCCTGTGTTTTTAGTAAATTGAATTCATTATATAATAGTTCAAAAAACTACGTGCTGAAAGTGTTTGTGATTAATTGGTAATAAATCAAATAGATCTTACTCAGTTGCTATGCCTTCTTTTAATATGAGCTCAAGTATATTTCCCAAAAATTTACAGCCAACTCAGAAAAAAGGACTAATTCTGTCCAGTTTCATAGCTCAAAAAATAAAAGCCTGAGACCTCAAATCTGAAAATACAAGTTTTCATGATTATTAATCCAATCCCTCGATTGCTTAAACCTGGAATCTTTACGACACCTAAGAGTTAGGTACAAAACCTTCAATGTCATTAGAAGGAATATACTTGGTGATTCCAAAAAGGTTCTGATATTAGTTCGATCTAAATTGGTTTCAACAGCAACTACTACATCTCGATTCCAAACAAGTTGGGGTCAACTATATGCATCCTCACTAACCATGTAAGCTCAATTCATGTCAACATCATAGCAAATAAAAAATAAAAGTGAAAGAATAGTTAAATGTACATAATAAAGTAATTATAATAATAATAATAAAAGTTCTTTAAATTTTTTTTTTTGATGACTGAAGGTATTATATATTTTTATTGACATATAAATCTATGATAAGGTCAAAATACTCCTAGAAAAGCAATAGGATCAAAACCATAGTACTAACAAGATTAAAACCTATTCTCAACTTGTAGAT